TGATTACAACGACAAATACCCATTGCTTAATCGAAAATCCAACTACAAAAATGAGATGTATTTACCCAATTTCGTCTAAGGTGGTGAAGGACTGGTAGTACAATTTTCCCACAATGACATGAGTTGAGCTGACGTTTCCATTCAATTTCACATAACCTTGATTTCCCAAAAGTGGTTCTCATCCTTAAACGAAATTGAGTGAATACATCTCATACTACTGATTCGCTGGTAGTCTCGAAAACAATACTTAATTCGAAAAATAAAGTAAATTCTCAATATGAAATGTATTCACCCAATTTCGTTTCAGGATGAGAACAACTTTGGGGAAATCAAGATTATGTGAAATTGAATGGAAACGTCAGGTCATTGTGGGAACATTCTTCGTCTACGAGTCCTTCATCACTTCAATTGAAATTGAGTGAATACATCTCATACTACTGATTTACTGGTAGTCACGAAAACAAAACTTTATTCGAAAAATAAAATAAATTCCTAATATGAAATGTATTCACCCAATTTCGTTTCAGGATTAGAACAACTTTTGGGAAATCAAGATTATGTGAAATTGAATGGAAACGTCAGGTCATTGTGGGAACATTCTTCGTCTACCAGTCCTTCATCACCTCAAACGAAATTGAGTGAATACATCTCATACTACTGATTCGCTGGTAGTCTCGAAAACAATACTTAATTCGAAAAATAAAATAAATTCTCAATATGAAATGTATTCACCCAATTTTGTTTTAGAATGAGAACAACTTTTGGGAAAGCAAGGTTATGTGAAATTAATTCGCAAGGATCGCAAACTCTTTTGGGCTTCCTTCACGAGTCCTTTCAGAATGCACACTTTACTCGGGTTTTTCTTCCTGCTTCCTTCATTTCGACGTAGAAAATACTGACAAAAATGCTACACTCATTTGCTCGCCTAAAGCAGTTGAAATGTGGACTAGTTTGCCAGAAGCTGATTTAGAGGAACAACAACCGTCCGTTCATGAGAGGCATCTTTCAATTTCAGGTTGTAACCATGTAGCATTGTTAACGTTAAGCTTTTGCAACAGCAAAGAAAAGTTGGGTTTCGAGCAATCCCTTGTTTCATAACGGTCAAGAAAACTCGTTATCTTCAACTTTTTTGTGACGATTTCACCTCGCTCTGATGATCTCCGTCACATGACGGACGAAAGATTAGCACCTTTTGGCCGGAATCGGAGGAGATTGCCTCGGAAACAGCGTCAGTATGAATCTTCAGGTAAAGCCAATCGGCAGTTGGTCTTCTGGTCCAACCGGCCGACTTTGTAATCTCTTTACGCAACACCTTCACTCGAAATGGAAGTCAGCTCAACACTTGGCAACATCACATGATACTGAAACTACTTTTGCGAAGCAGATCGAATGGGGCGCAACAAATGATCAAGCCAGGCTCGGCGGCAGATCCAACATAAGGCATGAAGTACCAAAAGATTCCAAGTATTCATTACAAACATCGTTTATATGAACTCTAGTCGCCTTAGGCCGCTTTAGGGGTTGGAAGACGGTGTAGTTGGGTTGTCCACGGCGAAATGTGCACAAAGCCTCAGCACGCAATTCGAATGCATTTGGCCTGCCTCTTGAAAGACCTTCTCCTCCAGAAAGGACGAAAATTGTGTCCTCTTCATTGGCTTCACCAAAACTACAAATGCTTTCTGGCGAGGCCTTTGATCCTGCTTAAGACAAGAAAGAAAAAAAGGGATCACGAGTGCGCTACAGCTTTCTATTACCAACTTACTTTAAACAAATTTCACATTTTGTATGCTCAAAACTAACTCGTGCATCGGCCAAAAGTCTCGGTTGTCATGACGAAGTTTATTTCCCATTTAGAGTGTCTGATGCAAAGATTGGTAGGTTCATGTCACTTTAAGGCGACTGATGATTTCTGCCTTTTTCGCATAAAATACGACGACCTTCTTTTTGACGCATCCGACGAGACATCATCAGAGCTGTACCGTCTCTAAAATATAAAACGCTTGCCCGAACTGACGAGAGAATAATCCTACTTCGAAACGGCCGAACACACCCTACAAAGAGCATCCTCACTCGCCAACAAAGACATATCGTTTTGCCGTTT